TTATCTTTTTTAATAGTTGAGAGGAGTGCATATCTTCAGTTAAAATCTCATGATCTAAATCATGCTCGTTTAGTTCAGGAAACATCTTTTCACATGCAAGCTCTTGATTAATTTTGTAAACCATTAAGGATTTTAAGTTTTTTTGTGAACAAGTGGCTAACGTTGAATTAATGCCTATAACAAAAACTCTAAATATTTTCTCACATTTTTCAATAATTTTAATAACACTAACAGATGGTATATTTAATCCACCAAGATTTTTTAAATTTATAAAAGATAAAGATGATGATTTGTAAAAGACTGTGTACTCATGATCACGAACTAAATTATCTGGTTGGTTAAGTGCTTCAGCACATATGCAACAAGTTATTTTCTTTTTAAGAGTTTTAACAATGTAACCAGCTATATAACCAAGTATTGCTTGTTTGTATATCAATGTTGAAATCTTTTCTAGGCTATTTGATAAGTTTGCAATTATATTTTTATCTTCATCTTTTAATTCTGTTTCTATCATTGGAGATCTTGTTTTACTCCATTTCAATGAAAATATTGAACCAGCTGAATTTTTTTCAAAAGTGAGACAATTTGCATGCTTTGAACCAATCAAAAAGTTTCTTAAAAGAATTTTTTTAAAGCTTGACTTTAATTGTATAATATTAGGATTATTATTAAATCCATTTTTTCCCCTAATACAAGCAAACAACAGTTCTAAGTGATCTTGAGACACTTTATAGGTCAACACATATTTGAATGAACATTCGGATCTTGATAGTAAATTTATAGACATATTTTGGATACTAGTTGCAGCGACAATGAAACCAATAGCAAACGTTTTTCTTCTATGTTTAAGAATTTTAGTCCCATCTTTATCAGTTAGGCTGGCCAGATATTTAATTGTTTTTTCAATAACACTAAACCAATGGATTTTGTCATTAAGAAATAAGGGTTTTTTCAAACCTTTGCCGAATGGACTTCTTGAATTAAGTAAATCAAAAAGTTGATTAATTGTTCTTATAAAATCTAATGTTCCTTGAGCATCATGAAAAGAGGGATGACCAGATAGCATTAAAAATTCAATAGCATCTGCTACAGAATTACTTAGTGTTTGGGCAGCTATTTTTACATTCATTTTATGCCTATGAAAATTAATATGGCTATTTCCTAACTTATTAGCAAACTTTAGTCCAATGTCTTCTTGCAAATTTTGCAGAATTGTGATGTGCTCCCACTTTACAAATCTTTTTTGACTATCAATAAATACACCAAGATCACATAGCGCATTTCGTGCAAGTTTTAGCATATGGCAAGGATCAGGAATAAAATAAATATTTTTATTATAAGACTCAATATTAAAAAAAGTTTTCATATTTTCAGGTTTATCAAACGAACAGCCAAGACTTTTCATGGCACTAAAATTAGAAAAAACACCATCACAAGTTACGCTGTGAACATCTATACCATGCTGAACACATAAATTAACTGCGTTAGTTATAAGACAAACCAAGTTTGTTGTTGAAATCTTTTCACATAAAACATAACCGATAGGACATTTCCAATGCCCTCGAAGTCCAACAAGCATAAAGACAAGAGCCTCAGTAGCTATACTATTTGGATCAAAAGCAGATATATTGTTTCCATAATCTGAAAAACCTTCATAGTTACCATTACTTGGATTATAAACAAGACCTGATTTTATATGCATAGAATCAAAGATCAATGCACAATCTTTATATGTAACATCTTCTAATCCCTTTTGTTGTAAGTAAGAAAAAACATCTTTAAAAAATCCAGGTGAACAATCAATAGATGAGGACCAATTCAATAAAGAACTTATACAAGGCAAAGCAAACAATGAGCTGACAAAAGTATAGGCACGAGGTGAATAAAAATGAAGTGTCAAGGCAAATTTCTTTACTTCTTCTGAATATCGGTGACCTCTAGGATCTTTGCATTTATTGACTAGTTCAGATTTAAATAAATCACAAACAAGACCAGAAAAGCTATTATCAAGAAATTGAGCTGTATCAGCTGATATAAGCTTGTCATTCTCAAGTTTTTTAATAATTTCTGTCATTGTATTTATTTTCAATTCTTTCCTTCTAAGCTTTTGTTTAAGAGTCTTAATTTTTCTTTTAAGCTTGACTTTAGATGGAGAGTCGACTTTATTATTTGGATTTTCAATAGTAAAATCTACACTAGTTAAAATATGATTCTTAGAGGAACATGGCAACGAAAGAGATATCTTTTTTTCATTAATAGTTTCGAATGTCTCAGTTACATTCCTGGAAACATATTTTCTTTTGATGGGTTTTTTAGAATGCATTTTCGCCGGGAAATTAAAGATAGATGGTACAACATTTGCTTTTAAACGAGGTTTATTTGCATTTTCATAATTGTAATCTTCTTTATGAAAGTGAACACTACATATATAACTATATTTTGTAGGAACAAATGAATCACGTTTTGTTGCCACAACCCATTTTTGGCAAAGCTCGCTATT